GCCGCCTCTGCGCGGGCCCTCTCCAACGCCGCTTCCTCCTGCCACACAGAGCTAGCGACAGCTGAGCATCTGCAGGTAAGCCGGAAGCTTCTACAGTAGACAGAAATTGTTTTTCTGCACAGTTTGCACCTCTTGTCTTTGCCGTTCCTCTTCCTCCTCCAAGCGTGCGCTTTCCTGTGTGTTGCTCCAACTGGTCGGAGAAGCCTCCTGACCAAGGCAGTCACTGTTTCAGAAGAGCGGTTGCTTGACAGCTCGCTAACCGCCTCTTCCTCTGCCAGGGCCCTCTGAAGTGCTTCCTCTTCCTGCTTCGTGTAGTTTCATGTAGTTTAATGATTGAATGATTGTGGTACAGTCGCTTCTTCATCGCTACTAAGACTGCCATGATGTGGCAGTGCACCTCTCGTCGTCAAACGTGATCACAGACCCGAACATGCCCCAACAAACGAACCCCTCGTGCAAGATCCTCCTGCTTACGCTGTGACTCTTCTGCATCGCGGGCTTCGCACTTTCTCCCCGCCTCTTGTCTGTGCATCTCCGCTGCTGCCTGCAACTCTGCAACAGCAAGCATCTCACAATACTTGCACTTGCACGCACCACTTACCACCAAGACGGCGCCGCCTCTGCGCGGGCCCTCTCCAATGCCGCTTCCTCCTGCCACACAGAGCTAGCGACAGCTGAGCATCTGCAGGTAAGCCGGAAGAAGCTTCAATAGACAGAAATTGTTTTTCTGCACAGTTTGCACCTCTTGTCTTTGACGTTCCTCTTCCTCCTCCAAGCGTGCGCTTTCCTGTGTGTTGCTCCAACTGGTCGGAGAAGCCTCCTGACCAAGGCAGTCACTGTTTCAGAAGAGCAGTTGCTTGACAGCTCGCTGACTGCCTCTTCCTCTGCCAGGGCCCTCTGAAGTGCTTCCTCTTCCTGCTTCGTGTAGTTTCATGTAGTTTAATGATTGAATGTGGTACAGTCGCTTCTTCATCACTCACTACAGTAAGACTACCATGACGTGGCAGTGCACTTTTCGTCGTCGCTTCTGATATCCCCGCAAACGCGATCACAGACCCGAACATGCCCCAACAACAAACATCAACGAACCCCTCGTGCAAGATCCTCCTGCTTACGCTGTAACTCTTCCGCATCGCGGGCTTCGCACTTTCTCCCCGCCTCTTGTCTGCGCATCTCCGCTGCTGCCTGCAACTCTGCAACAGCAAGCATCTCACAATACTTGCACACCAAGACGGCGCCGCCTCTGCGCGG